TACACTCTTGGTCTAATATCGCTAACAAGTTTCTCTTTGCTAATAGTGCTCGTAAAATGTTACAGATGCATAAAGCTTGTAAAATGCATACATGCAAAATGTAATTCAAGCATTCCATAAATGACTTAAATTATACAACTGAGATGAACTTACTTTGTGCTTAGTCACTGCTAATGGGAACCCGTAAATGACCGAGATCTTGCTAACTAAAGTATTGCTCCTCGAACGCATGTACATTTCATTCTGAGAGAAGAATGTTGCTAGCTGTCAACTGTTTCCTGATCGACGAAACTTGTATTCCTCCAGCCAGGTGGCGCTTGATGGCTCAGAAAGGCAAATTCTTCATTTAGCTACAATCAACTTTCAATACGTTTTTGTACTATAAATATTTATATATCTTGTAAATATTTAAATATGATGCTCTTGAATCTGAGATATAAATAAAATATCCTCCTGCAAGCTTTATATAATGTTTAATTTGTATCATTAAATCACACGCCTATAATTGAACCCTACATAGCGCGGAGAAATATACCAGGTACCACGTGATAGCGCTGTCTACGTTTTATTTCAGCGGTGAACTTGAATGCTGCATCATAGAAAATACAGAATTAAAATAGCAAATATGTTTATAGTGAGTGTCTATAGTGAGCTAGTAGTCATTCTGGACTGGCGCGTATCCCTTTTCTGTCATTACTCTTTCTGTCTTCTCGGCCGCCGTAGAAAATACTCGTTTCACGGATCTCGCGATATTTCTCACGACACGCATTTGAGATCTCGCGATATGGCGATGCCGGAGATGGCGGAAACATCAGCGGGTGGACGGAAAGAATCGGCGGCGAGGCACAACTGCTCCGCGAATGGATCAGAGAGGTTTGAGTGGGGGGATAGTGGAGGAAGTATGGATGTAGGAAGTGAAGAGGAGAATGGTGGAAATTTAGGAAACCGGTGGAGTGAAGTTAGAAATAGTCGAGGAGAAGAACGGAAGAAAAGGAGTGATGTTGATGAATCTGGCGAAAAGAGTCGGGATAGCATTAAGTGCATTGTGAGATTTGGGGAGTGGCAGCTGCCACGGTCTTTCTCGCCGTTTCTGCTGTTTGCTCGGTAAAACTACACTTTTCTCAGTGGCCTGCAGTGTTTTTTGTTGCTTTTTTTTTTAGACAATAAAACAACCCGAACTTGATTTAAATGATTGACAGTAACAGATCTGACCTAATGTAACACTTAACAATGACAGTCAGCGATATGACAGTATGACATATGAAAATTACATTTAATAATTGACAATTGAACTCCGTTTCCCATAGTCCTTTGCCTTGTCGTTTTTTAAATCTTTAATAAAATGGGCAACTGAAATAAATAGTAAAGCGTTCTTTCATTTTCTTAAAAGGACGAGATTAATAAGTAGAATGTAACGCTCTGGTCCACACTCCGGAGCAGAAGGTGGCGGTAATGCACCTAATTACGCTGGTTGCCAGCCGCCGTTAAAAGCCAAGAAGAAGAAAATCTCGCGATATTTCCCCGGGCTCCTATTGGAAGGTAAATAGCTCATCTCAGCTAGCGTGTGTTCTTTACAGCTGCTTATCCACCGCTGTCAACCCACCCGTTCATTACCGAGCTTTTGAAAATGTAGCTTGCGGTTATATATTTGTCTTTAACCATCACTGTGAACGATATCTGTGAGGTAAAAGGTTTTTTTCAGTATATTATTAGCACATTTAATGCTCGTCATCATATGCTAACTGACAGCTCGCTTGTTTATACTTACACATTCAATTCCGCCAAATGCCATCATATTAGCCGTTAATTGTCTAATAACATGTTTATCTGCATAGTGTTAACCTGGATTATGATGTATATTAAAGATACAATAGCTATGATGTTGAGCATAGTGAAATAAGCCATACTGGCGTCTGTATTGATTTAAATGTTAATCATATAATCACAGAATACAGTCAACCATGTTTTTTGGACATGTACAATGTGACTTCATCAGTGTAGAATCGTACCAAGTGTTTTACATACAATAATTTACAAATTTGAATTGTAGTTGCATTGTTTTAGGTCTTGATAATTAAGTATTTTTCTTCCTTTTTTTTCAGGTTTTGACAGAGAGTCAAATCCATCAGAAGTCATAAGGTGGACCTGGTCCATCTCCAAAACAGCATGATGCTGCCAAAATAGTGAAACACTCATCAGTGGAGGATTTTTCATAGACTTGAATGCCCATTAAATGCTTCTCTTCACTCCCAGTTTCTTAGGCTAGTGTTTTGACCTTAGTCTCCTAATAAACAACACACAATGCTGTTCTCTCTGCGAGAGCTAGTGCAATGGCTGGGCTTTGCCACATTCGAGCTGTTCCTCCACTTGGGCGCGCTGCTGGTGTTCAGCGTGCTGGTGGCCCTACACATGGACGTGGACAAGCAGACTCTTGAGATGAGCTGGTGGATTGTCTTCTCTCCCTTGTTTGCTGCTGATGGCCTCAGCACTTACTTCACAGCCATTGTATCCATCCGCCTCTATCAAGAAGGAGAGAAGCGGCTGGCGGTGCTGCGCTTGCTGTGGGTGCTGACCGTGCTCAGTCTCAAGCTGGTGTGTGAGGTGCTGCTATGCCAGAAATTGGCAGAACAGAACCAGGCACAAAGTGATTTGTGGTTCGGGCTTATCGTTTCCCCACTTTTCATCCTTCTGCAGCTGCTCATGATTCGTGCTTGTCGTGTCAATTAAAGGACAAACCGTCTGCACACATGACAGTGGACTTATGCGAATGAAAAAGACTCCTGCAGGTGTCATTCAAACCAGGAGGTGTGAATCGTTGTGAACTGCAAAATCATTGTGAACTTTTTTTTTTTTGTATTCAAATGGTTCAAGCATGTGAACATGGCATCATAAACAATGCTTAAAATAATGTGCAATTTTGATTATTATTATTGTCCATAAGTGCTATGAGAGATTTGGTCTGGATTTTTTTCTGAATACTGTCAATGTTGCTTTATCTGTGTTAATACATTTTATTGTTGTTTGTACAGTTGTAAATAAACCATCAATATTCAACACTCTTGATTTTCCTTGGTTTGTTATGACCATGCCTTGAAGTGACCTAAATTTATTTGTTTATTTAGAAAAGTTAGTTGGATGTTTGATGTTTTTGAGAGGAAAATTCAAAATAAGCCAATGTGTAAAAAAAATATGTACGTCCTATAATAATCACTAGATGGCACTATAGATTTAATTAATCCTGCAATTTCTAATTTGTCTCATTATAGGAGCTCCACTCAGGACAAAACATGCAATTTCATTAAGTATACATTTACAAAATGGTTTTATGATGTTTGAAGTACAGTTATATCATTAAAGAGCAGCTAGTTTCAAATTCATCACATACATATCCTTATGGATGTAGTGAAACGTTTTCTAAAATATATAACTTCTAAAGAGAAATAGAAAAATGAGCTCTTATTAAAATGAAAGCAATATTCTATCGGAAACTAAATGGATTAAATGATATCTAATGCAAACAACACTCCTGTTGCAGTATTTAAATATTAAACCAAAAGGACAAAGGACATCTAATAAACAGCCTTCCTGTTACTTTATATAAGATATTAGATACACAGAAAGCATTTATATTTATTACCTGTTAGCAAGGCTGTGTTACTGTAAATAATAAACCATGTTATTTTTTTAACTTTGCACTCGGTTTGTGATAGCATAAAATAATTTCATTGAACATATGTGATCCTGGACCACAAAACCAGTCTTAAGTCGCTTGGGTATATTTTTAGCAATAGCCAAAAAAACATTGTATGGGTCAAATAGATTTTTTTGCACCCTCATATTCCAGATTTTCAAATAGTTGTACCTCGACCAAATATGGTCCTATCTCCTAACAAACCATACATCAATGGAAAGCGTATTTATTCGGCTTATTTCATATGGCAAAAAATTGACCCTTATGACTGGTTTTGTGGTCCATGGTCACATATGTTAAGCCCCTACCTACTGCAACCCATTGTGGCTGTAAATGCCAACAGCTGTATTAAAGGTCGTACACCCTAATCTTAAATGAACAATTTTTCCTGCCGTCCTTTCCTGTTTATGAGGTTATCTTTTACAGAATGCTCAGGTGCATAATAGGCTACAGCCTATAAATAACTTGACGCGCTGTACTTATGATGCCTTGCTATAATCTTTATTTCTGTGCCTTTTAATTAATCTGATTAAAACCGAGTTATGAGAGTGACGAGGACATTAGTCGTACCACGTCATTATATGGCATATTCTACTTTTTATCAGATTTCTTTGATCAAACAATCCGTTTTGATCCTGTCAGTCACCTTCGTATTTGTTGCATTAGAAAAACAGTAGGTCTACTGTAATAATGTATTTACACATATATTTATTTATTTTGTTATATTTATTTTCATTTTCATTTCATTTCATTTTTTTGGGGTTAAAACTAGATTATGACAGGACAAATAGTTGCACCACGCCATGGTCAAGGGAACATTACAACTCTCAGTAACCTTCGTATTTGAAATTTAGAAATTTCGAAAAAAATAAATACATTTAATTGTTTAAAATTTCTTACCTTTTGTTGCTTTGTTTCTAATGAAAATCGTTATGCATAATTTATTGCAATTTATATTATTTATATTATTTTTACATAACATTTAGAACAGATAATTTATTAAATTCAGAATGCGTTTTATTCACCAAGTGTGCACACACACACAGGAAATAATTTTTTTATTTTCCACTTAATGTTATCTTGCGTATTGTATATTGCTCCAAACAGCTTGCAGTTTTGCCCATTCATAATATAAACCATTCCGAAATAATGAAAGTGTTAAATATAGGAAATGGGCGGATCTCGCTGTGTTTGACTGACAGGGCTCGCTTTAATCTTCACAATAGTAGAAAGTAGGGGGCGGGGCATATGTTAAAACAAAAGGTGTGCCTCAAGTCAAAATTACCAAATGAGGTGTCCACCCTGAGACGAAAAGCTGACGTCACACTCCGAGGGCGGGGTCGTGTCAGTAGACTGGCACATCATCATCATGCAGGATATATTGGTGCGGCTGCAATGATGTACGAGTACGAATAAGAAGAGGCGCTGCAGGTACGGTGAGAGATTATTTGGCTTCACACGTACCCCTATAAAACCCGTTTCTCCCATAATGTCGGGCGGGGATCTTCGCGTTCTTCGCCAAGAGCCAGGGCAGGAGAGCCCGAGGATGCCGGCCTGGAAACGCGAGATCCTTGAGCGGAGAAAGGCGAAGGGCGGTGGGTCCGGAGCAGGTGCCGAGTCCGTCGCATCTCGACTTAACGGCGAGGTAACGGCCAGCAAAAGCAAGGATGATATTAGTAGCGCACATTCTAGCAGGAACTGTACCATTACCGCTGCCAACCGCGCGACCAAAAGCCCGGATCTGTCACCGGTGAAAACAAAAGAGCACTGGACATCCACGGACCCGAGCCGCACGGAGGAGAGAACGGCGAAAGACAACGGAGCGCATGAGAGCCTGGTATTGCAAGAGAGCTTGGGTCCGCTGCAGGAAAACCCATTCATTAAACTGGAAAAAGAACGCAAGAAGCGTCAGAGCCAAGAGAACGCCGCGCGACCGGTTCAGCACATCCTCGAGTTATACGGCGGCGTTCCCGGGATACGGACTATACGCGCTGAGAATATCATCATTATTGAATCCGACCCGGAGTACTTCTCGGAAGGATGTGGTTTGAAGCATGCATCGAAACTGCAGCAGAACGGCACGGTGAGCGGATACAGCTCTCTCAATGACCTGTTAGACCGGAGAGGTAGTCCGGTTACGGAGATACGCGCGAAGGAAGTGGTCATTTACGATACTGCGCTTAGTAAAAGCGAGGAGAACCTCAGCACGCTGGGACGACCCGCGTCTGCCCCGCTGGAGGGGCAAGGAAGGGTGAGTCGCATGTTACAGAAATTTGACAGGAATTATGGCAAGTTGCAGGCCAAGTCACGCAGCACAGAAAACCTCCTGGACTTGGACTGTAGTCCTGTCAGGCCAAGCTCCAGACCCAAGCCAGATGTGGTGCCAAAATGCCCAGTGTCTCCGCAAGCTGGCTCTCCACACAGCAAGGTCTTCCAAAATGTCCAGTCTTCCATGAGCAACCATCACGCCTCTCCTAGTGACTCAGGGAGTAGTACACCCGTTTCTGGATCCCCTCAGTTAGTGTCTTCCACACGTAGACGTTTCGAGGGCAGCGGGGGACGAAGTGTCACTGTGTATCCCAAGGAGGACACTGAGAGGTCTCCGTCCAAGCCTGTTAGAGAACGGGACTGGGATAGCACAGATGGGGCCTCTAAAGCCAAGGTGCCATGCTCTCCGGAGAGCCACCGTGCCCGTGCCGACTGTACTCCTAGCCCCACATCACCCCCCTTATCACCCAGCTTTGAGATCCGCCCGTCCCCTCGCCCGGATCTTTCTCTCCTTCCGCCTGGGGATCTACAGGCCCGTGCACTCGCCAACTTGCGACTCCAGTCTCGCAATTCCTTCACTGTCATTCCCAAGAGTCGAGCGGCCATTTCGTCACCTGGCAGCACCGCCCCATCCAGCCCTGTCCTTTCCCCCCCATCCCCACGACCCCTGGTGGGTGTGGCAGCTTCAGAGTCCGCAGTGCCAACCCCCTCACCCGCTTCCTTCATACCTTCCACACCAAAGCTTACAGAAAAGGTGACCATAGAAGCCAAAACAGGGTCTCCGCAACATACCCCACCTGCCACACCCACCTCTCCAGCCCCAGCTTCTCCGCCCTCAATTGGCTCACCCGTCAAATCAGTCTCATCTCCAAAGGAACCTCCGCTTGATAAGCTGCCTATCACAAACATTGATGACCTAGTCGTGGAGCCCACGTCACCCGTCCTGAGCCCTGCGGTGCAGAGGCGCAAAGGAAATACGTTTACAGTTGTTCCGAAACGGAGGCCTGAGGCCCAGTCTGGCCCTGCTGAGACCCCAGAAGTCGTCAGTGAATCTCAGAGCACACCACAGGCCCCTTATGCCCATCTGGGAACCCTGATTAAAAAGCGTTACCCTGCTGCAGAGGAGATAAAGGTCATTGGGGGCTACCTCTCCCTTGGGCGATCCTGTCTCTCGAAGACTGGCTCAACAGGAAAAAAGGTAAATATAGTATCATATTTAGCGTAATATCTACATTGGTCATTTATTTACTATACATGTATTAAAGAAATAGGATGTCTTTATGAAGTGGCTTAGTAGGTATAGTTTACCCCAAAACAAACATTCTGTCATCATTTATTCATCCTGATGTCATTCAAAACCTGTATCACTGTTTTTCTTTTGTGGAGCACAAAAGGCAACATTAGGCACTCCCAGTCACCTTTCATTTTCATTCTGCCTAATATCTCATTTTGTGTTCCACTAAAGAAACAAAGTCATATGAGTTGTGGCACCACATAAGGGTAAGTAAATAATAGCAGAACTTTGGGTTAACTATACTTTTAAGAAGAATGCACTTTTGTGTCCTGGCAAGTGTCTTGATTAAATACATTTTTATTTTCTGGTTCAATTCTTGCCATTAACAAACCATTAACTATGACTTTTACTTCAATAACTTCTAATTTGCTCCTTATTAATAGCAAGGTAGTTGTTAAGTTTAGGTATTGGGTAGGATTAGGGATGTAGAATATGGTCATGCAGAATGTGCTTTATAAGTACTAATAAACAGCCAATATGTTAAAAATAGGCATAGCTGCGCTCACAGCGACCCGAGTTCGATTCCCGTCTCAAGGTCCTTTGCCGATCCCGCTCCACTCTCTCCCAGTGCTTTCCTGTCGTCTCTCTACTGTGCTATTTATAAAAAATGCATAAAAAGCCCATAAAAATATAAAAAAAAAAATAAATAAATAAATAGTCATTCTAATAACAGCTAGTTAATACTGAGAATTGGTCCCTATACTAAAGTGTTAATGGTTTGTTTTTAGGTTAGAAATTTGTGCAAATACACAAAAAGGCTTTACAGTGGTTTTTCAGACATGTTTGTTGGGTGTTTATGACCTGTTCAAAGGTTCACCGTATTCTTAACCACTGCATCATTTAAGATGTGTCAACATGGATTTTGTAGTGGTAATGACACATGCAGGTTACATTGAGATACCTGCTGCTTACCTCCTGCAAGACATCAGTCCAAACAAGTAATAACTTTTCTTGTTTGATTCTATGCTATCCATATTATTTTGCAACACAGAAGTAAGCTATTTTCTGTGAATGTGCAAGACTTCTGATTTATTAGCTGCAATAGGTAAAAAAAAGAAGAATAACAAAATGCATTAAACTGTAAAACTATCTGAGATACAAAAAATGTGTGTTTATGATTATGATAATGTATATTATGATAATAAATACTAATTTGCAATATCACGCAGCATAACACACTTTCCAGTTACAAATGGCTGCGCCCGCTCTTAAATCAGGCAGATACAGTGAAACTAATTTGTATACTTAAACCACATAAAAAAATTTTTTGAATGTTGAATTAGATATCAAATTATCAAAACAAGCAGCATTTATTTTAAATAAAAACACTATAAGCACACTTCTAGAGCAAAATGTTTCATAAAAAAAAGATGTACCATTAATGTGATGAACTACACCTAGGCTTACTCTGCTAGGACACCTGTGTGAACTTTATAAGAGCTTCATATATTTATATATCCAAAATCACCAAAACACCAGCTAAATAGAAATCATCTCAAAAAGAAAAGGGTTGTTTCTTAGAAAACAATAGAAGCCGCTTGGTTTGATATTTTGTATCTAATGAAATGACATTCACAAATTTAGCAGGGCAACTTAAAAGTACAAATCTATAGAACACAATATAGAAAATGCTATATGCAAATAATATAGAAAATATAGTTTGGGACTATGTTGTTATGGACACAGCCTGCAGTATATGCTCACATTGCAACTTTAGTTTATAACCAAATGTAAACAGCAGTAAAGATCTTGCCAGAGAAGGTCAGGTGATTTATGTAGGAAAATGAGTCATGTGTTCTGTTCGGAGTCAAGTCTAGGAGTTACTGAGGTCTAATAAAGGTCTTTGCAAGGCCATACTTGAAATTTGACTTGTTACATAACATGCTGCCATTCACAGTCAAAATCGATCTCAAAACAGGAAACCAAACTAGCAGCAATGATCCGTTTCACTTCCTCTGCATAGTGGTTCTCTCAAACAGTCATGAAGCCTTTGCTGATTAATATCAAACTAGGTTTAGATTCATAGCATGTATTAAAAGATGTAATGATTCCGGATGTTCGATTTTGTCAGTTAGAGTTTCACTTTTTTTTCTAAAAATTTTTGTCTTAGCTTTAGTATTTTAGCTCTAATGCCAATCGGGATGAAATTAGAAACACTGCTTCTCTGAAAGGATTTTAGACCGCTGACAGCTAGTTGTAAAGAAAATGAATATCTGACTTTCCTGTTATTGTTTTTATTCATTTAGCATTATCCATATAGGTTTTTGTTTATTGTGTACTCTGATGATTTATGATGCTACAGTCTTGCACCCTTGTTGTTTTTAAGACACCATGTCAAGTTAAAAGTAGTTAAATTTTTTCTTTCTGTATAAGCATGCGTCCTGTGCGGTGGACATCACCCTACAAGGCTGTTTACACTGTAACTATAAAGTGTTAAAGGGGTCATATGATGCTTTTTTAAAGATCATTATTTTGTGTATTTGTTGTAACAGAATATGTTTCAATTCTTTAATGTTCAAAAAACACATTATTTTTCAAATACTGTACATTATTGTAGGTCCTCTATGCCCCGCCTCTCTCAAACGCTTCGTTTTCTACAAAGTCCCGACAAGCATAGTCTGCTCTGATTGGCCAACTGACCCAGTGCATTGTGATTGGCCGAACACCACAAGCACGCATCGGAAATTTAACACCCCTTACCACAATCGCGAACTTCAGCTT